TTGTTCAAGTTAAAACAAGTTGATTCATATAGTTTTTTAATGCTCATGCTTATAGAAAATGTTGAGAAGCCCAAATTTCCCAAACTAGTTTGGGCTTTGAGAAAACAGTTTGGACCAGAAACCTTAGTTATGAAGATGTTCGTGGTATATTAAAGGAATTTCTTGAAGATATAGTTGGAGTATGTAATAATAGCAAATTATAACAACAAATTATAATTTATGGATATTAATAATAACAATTTTTACATATTATGACTTTTTTTCTTTAGTCTGCAGTCACTTATATGGAACAAGCAAGACATAAAACAGTCACATGCATGGATGTTAGTAAATTGGTTCACTTCACTATAATATATATTGTAAATGTATCACTACCTTTTAACCATATTAATCTATTTATTGAAACATATTTTCTTAATAGCATATGCACTAAAAAGAAAAGGCAAACTTCATTATGGATTTGGTGTATAAATTTTTTTAAAAAAAATATATTTTTAAATTTGGGAGCTTAAAAAATTTCTTGTGTATCTACACTTTGAAGTTTTTATTTTTAGCAAAAATTTACAGTAATAATTTAATTTTTCTTAATTGTTTACCATAATGTTATTATATTGATAAGCAGGTTTCTTGACTTTCACAAATTTCTTTTAAATAAACAAAATATATTAATATCTTTCTACACAATAATTGAAGTACTGTTTGAAAACACATGTATAATTTAGTCCTTGTGAAAGTAATTCTTACATTAAGTATCATTTATTTTGAAAATATAAGGAGCAATTTTTTCACCTTGTTCTTTCTTCAAAACACTTCTGATAGTACTATAATTCTTGGGTTCCATAGTATATCTGATGTAAATGAGTTTCATATTAACTATTTTATATAGGGATAATTCTATATATCACAAATGGATATTATAAAACTGATAATTATAATCACATTACAAATGACTAAATTTTGATCCCTGAAATTCTTAGTAATACCAATGTTCACTTTGTCTGGTTTTGTTGCAGCATGCCCCATATATGATATATATATTATTAGGTTCCTGAAGAAAATGTATTAGGTGAAATAGGAAAAGGTGTGTATAATATACAAATAAATAAATGTGCATGTGCATATATGATGTGGTGTGAATATTAAATATAATAATTTATTATTATTATAATAAATATTCAAGGCTATAAATATGCTATTGAGATATTGAATGAAGGACGTATTGGAATAGCAGCTCAAATGATAGGACTTGCACAAGGAGCATATGATCATGCATTACCTTATTTATTCCAAAGGGAACAATTTGGTCAATTTATTGGTGACTTTCAGGTAAAAAATACAGATAAAATTTTTTTTTTGATGTTAATAAATCACTATTGAAAATGTATATACTCTCTCTTGATCTTTAATAGGGAATGCAACTGCAATATGCACAAAGTTAGTATTACTTAACAAACATAACAATGACAATCTATCATTATTTAAATTATATAAATTTGTTATTAATTATAATGATATGGTGCATATACATATTTTTCATCTAGTTGCAACTGAAATTGAAGCCGCCAGATTATTGACATATAATGCAGCTAGAATTAAACAAGAAGGAAAAAGCTTTATTAAAGAAGCTGCAATGGCTAAATTATATTCTTCTCAAATAGCAGAAAAGGTTTATTTTTAAATGAAATTGTTTAATCTTTTACTATGGTGATGTCATGATAATATTATTTATGTTGATCAGGCTGCATCTAAATGTATCGAGTGGATGGGTGGTGTCGGATTTACTACAGAATTTCCAGGTAATTCAAAAAAAAAATTTTTTTGTTAAATGTAATAAAAAATTATTTAAATAATTTTTTTCTTTGTATATTATATATACTTATAGTCGAGAAGTATTACAGGGATGCAAAAATAGGTAAACACACAATATTTATTATTTTAATCATTCAATCATTCAATCATTTATTTATGTTAAACATTTGTTTTTAAAAGGTGCAATTTATGAGGGAACCTCAAACATTCAATTAATTACAATTGCTAAAGAAATTAAAAAAAAATATGCATCATAAAAGTATAATAAATTATTATTAAAATGTTTTTAATAAATGATAGGTATCCAGCTAATACTTTATTATTTTCTGTTTCTTGAATCTTTTTTCCATTTCCAAAATTGTTTCAACATTTCTTTTTCTTTCATATTCATCTTTAATATTAATAGAATAATAAATTTAGACAAATATATTTTTATGTATGTATATTCACTCTTATTTTTTCCAATTAAAAATAATATTTACCATTAAATAATCATCATCACTTTCATGATCATAACCAAGCAAATGTAGTACACCATGTACATATAACTCTATCAATCTCTTTTCAATATTAAGACATCTTTTAGTTTTCTTAAATGAATGACAAGTAGTATAATATTTATTATTTCTTTTACACCAATTGATTACATATGGTATTGAAATAATTAAATCTCCCAGATTTTGATGTTCTGGTGTCAATGGTTTAGGTAAGTTTCCTGGTGAAATTGCCTAAATTAATTAGTTATTTATTTGATTTGTTATTTAATTATGGTGACTTTATTTCTACTGTTAAAAAAAAATAACATTTTTAGATCAAACCTCATGTAAAGGAAATGATAAAATATCAGTTGATTGATTTTTATTCCTATATTTGAAATTTAATTTTTTGATATATTTATTATTTGTGAAAGTTACTCCTAAATCCCAATTAGAATAATTGGTAAATGATAAAATTTTCATCAACTTGATTGTTATTAGTTTCTTTGAAAGCTTTATATAAGATTGTGAATTATTTATTATGATTGACATGATTATGATAATAATGACGATTAATATGACAATTTACATGATAAAACGTTATATTGGAGCGCACCAAAGATATAAGATACTATTGTTCTTATCAACTCCACTTTAATAAAGGCATGTATTAAAGTAATGAACAATTTATGTGTTTCTATTGTTTCCGTAATAAGCTATGATCTACATGTCAGCTGAAAATTTTCTTAAATGCACAATGCTTTATTTTTAGTAACAAGTCTAATAAAAACACAAATAAACCAGGGACAATAGATTGGGAAAACACATGGCACAACATATTTAAATCATACAAATTATAAGTTGCTCCTTCGTCATTTGATACGAAATCCATCCAATTATCTTCTTCAATGTATTCTGGGTACATTTCTATGAATTCCTTTACAGTACCCCACAGTGATTCTATTGTTCTTGGGTATTCATATAACGATATTGTAAATCCTAAAAATGAAAATCACAAAAGGTTGATATTTTATTTTTGCATAATTATAATAACTCAATCCAATAATCTGATTCACTATATACGCTTTTACACTTTTCACATTTACCATATTTAATATCATTGTCTTGCATATATAAGAATGGATCAAAATCTATATTACAATAGAAATCAACTCCAGGCTCGACCCTCCAATAATAATCATAATTTTTCAACAATTCATGTCTATAAAAGAATCCTGATTCAAATCTACAGATTGAAAATGGATTATATTATATATTTATATGCTATATATACGTATGAATGCTTATGTTACTATCATTTGTATGTTCACATACCTGCACATGTGTCGATAATTTAGACTTCCGCCATAAATTACACGTTCTTCAGCCATTTGTTTCATCGCAGATTCCATAAGTTCTTTATCAATACTAGACGGTACACTCCAATGCTCCACTGGGATTAAACCTATTATTCATATATTCAATTAAAATCAAAATCAACAATCAACAAATAAAAATTACCACACATACGCACATCTAAATGTATGAGTATCCATTTTTATTTATTTTATACCTACCAAATTCACAATTTGCCTCGGTTAAACTTCTAGTTTGATTCATAAACTCTTCGGTGAATGGTACGTCATTTAAGAATACGTATGGGTATTTATATTTACGATTAAACCGTTGTTCAAGTTGAACCATTGTGTATCTGAAACTTTTCAAATCGTCATTTCTTATTAATACAACAAATGCTGCCTTTGCTTTACGAGGTGGAATTGTTTCTTGTTTTGTTGGTTCTTCTTTTTCAAAAGTTTCTGTTTGTTTTATTTCTTCTTCTTGCACTTGAGTTGGTTGAATGGTGTTTTCAACGGTTACAGTACTGGTCATAGTTAAGATCTTTGTTTTAAATATAGATTTTGTTATAGTGCGTGGTCCAGTACTTATTTTATTATTTGTTGCTTTTTCATTATTAATAATTGGGGCATCCTTGCCGGAATCAATATAATGATCTTCAGTTATTATACTCCAAGGATTTTTCACACTTGGATTGAAATACGTAAATAGAAAATGAAAACAGAATATTATTGCTAAAGCTATGAGTAAATATTTTGGAAAAGTTTTTTTAAACATTTTTAAACATTTAAATATTTGATCTTTTTTTGAAATATGTAGTTTTTTTTTTTTTTGATTGAGGCTTTGTACAAATTGTTGCTCTATGCGAATTTTGAAATTATGTGAAATCTATAATTAAATTGGCTAATTGAATTTCACGTATTGCAGATTCATAGATTTTCATAAAAAGCACCTCGCCGATCATTATTTCCCTGTTAATCAATGAAATTTATTTATTTTATTTATTTGTAAGACATTAATTTTGGATGATAAATAAACCCTTGTCACACTAAATCGGGAAGATCCAAATCCTTCATAGAAAGTCATCATTGCTTGCTGATACCACCACCAGCTAGACATATTCTCCCACAATTAAAATGGCAGCAGAGAGGTCAGTAAGTCTCCCTTATAAATGGATCAGGTCTCTCTCCATAAGTGTTTTATGCAAAAAAATGTTCCTTGTGTTACATGCAGCATTAACACTTTGATTCCAATGTGTCAGACAGACTGATTTGCAGATTCTGACAGACCAGAATTTTTTGATGCTTATCAAACCACCCATCACACAAAGAACAGACCGAGGAAGTACAGAGCATCAACATTCACCACCTTGCAATGTCTAGAAAGCTCTTGGCGAAATTCTTTTACAGGGCCCATATGATGTTGATGAGAATCAAATGCAACAACTATACTGTCACCATTATCATTTGTTATTCTCTTGCACAGAATATCAAAGGCCTTCTGCTTATTAATAAAAGATTCTATCACAACCAATGCCAATGACAATGACATTCACCATAAAAATCAAGGATTATATAAAGATAAAACAGAATGTAAGCAAGATAAGAGCCAGATTCATAGACATTAGTGACACCAGAGGTTGGAATTTCTAGGTTTGTATTATTCAAATGATATTCTTGTTTAATAGCAAATTAAATTAACAAAGTATAACTCATCTTGAATAACAGCCTGAAGATTTTTTTTTCTAACCACACAACTCATGTTTTTTATGAGTAAGAACAAATCCTGCTAAGTTCCAGTACTCCTTGTTAGAACAATTCACAACTTTTTCATCTGAGCCCACTGCTACAAACAGATCTATTCTTCCAGGATCTAGTCCAAATACTTTGCATCCATTCAAATCAATATTTGATCCTTCTTCATCAACATCCTCTTTATTATCATCAACTTTCTTCTGCAGACCAACTGATACTGCAAGACCATTAGTTTGTATGGAGTAAGCAAAGATTCGATTTTGGCTGGTGAGTTTATTAATATTAAATGCTTCCATCCACCAAGTTTCCTTTTCAGCTCTGAATCTTTGAATGGTTGTTACTCTTACTTTTTCAATGACTTGTAATAAAGCATCAGTGTCAACTAATATGTACTTTTGTTGGAAAGAGTATTCAGGCAGAAGTGTGATGAGACAAAGACCACATTCCCAGTTAATGCCAGGTAAAGGTGTGCAGGATTTTGTGAAGACCTGGAAGATATGGCCACCAGGATGCTTTTACAAATACATCATCAAAAGCTTGATTTTGGAATAATGTCTGTTGCACTTTCAAGTGAATATATTGGATGCAGGTAGTAAGGCGAAGAAAATATTATGGATGTGATGTAAAGAGTTTATCAATGATCTTTGAAGGAAGGGAAGGAGGATCTTGATTTTTCAAGTTGGTAATGAAATGGTTTATAATGGAGTTGATGTGCTTTTTGAGTAAAGGAAATTGATGAATCTTAAATAATTTATATTTTATCCATCTTTTAAGTCAGTTATTGAGATTTGTTGTTATATGGTTCTGACAATTTGTAACATATTACTGTGCAGCAGAGGAGAGAAGCTGTCCTAATGATTTTTTATTTTCCCAATTCATTCCTTGAGGGTGTAGAGGGTATCTCAAATATTATTTATGATGGTTTTTTTTGTGGTGTCAGGGGTATTTTGTATGTAGTTACAGCTTGGAAACATTGCCTCATATACTTGAAAGCTCCTTCACTTGTGTTAAAGGAAATTGATCACCAAGGGCCATGTGATAAAGTGCTGTTTGGTTAACCAACCAAGAGCCTTTTAAAACAATTTGAGTCATCCTTTCACCAGCACTTTGGACTGCAGGCTCAAGATCTTTATCTTTAAGGAGTTTTCTGGTCCAGTTTTTACTGTGCATCGTTCATATTTTGTGCCTTTTTCTGAACAAGTTTGGATGCAACAAGGATGTTCTAGGTATTTAAAAATATATTAAGTGCTATTCCTAAAAAATAGAGGCAGATAAATGATAAATATTTACTTGGTTTTTTATGTTGTTTTTTGTTTATGTCCTCACTTGCTTTTCTTTTAGCTGTATTTTTAGAAGATTCCGCATATGGTATATATCTGTTTCTATATCAATATTTTTGTGTGTTTTTTTTGAGAATCTCTACTTTGTCATCACTGGGAGCTTTTCGTTTGCTTGTATGTATTAACATTGAAATGATGATGGATGATGTTTAAATTAAAACAGAATTGACAAAATTCTTTTTTTTTGAAAAGACTGAAAAAAATAACATCATTTATTTACTTTTATAAGAAAAGTATCGTTTTATTATTAATTAATAGACAATTGGATTGATTATTGTTTATTAACTAAAGGTGCCTAAAAACAATTCTACTATTATTATCGTTTGTCTTGTTTTTTTTTTGGATCGTGCCATTGATTTGTTTACTTTTAAGAAAAAATATTGTGTTTAGTTAATTAATTGACAGTTGAATTGATTATTTGTTTATTACTAAGGATGCTGAAAAACATTTTTCACTATTATTATCATTCATCTTGTTTTTGGATCGCACCATTGATTTGTTTGCTTTTAAGAAAAAGCATTATGCGTTTAGTTAATTAATTGACAATAATTAAAATTTTGGGGTGGGGTGTTTGGATATGAAATTCTGATTGGCTAATTTGAATTTCACGTACGTGAATTGCAAATTCGCATAAATTTCATTTTCGCGCACAACATTACTAAAAACAAAGTGCTGTGCGTTTAACTAATTGACAATTTAATTGATTATTCGTTTACTTTTAACAATGTATTATGCATTTAATTAATTATTTGGTTATTACTAAAAATTCTAAAAAATGAAGCTTATTATATTTAATTAACACAAAAAAAAGATTTAACATTTGCCATGTCACGATCTCCTTCCAAAACTCGCAAGTCATGCGACTTCCGTGCAGTTTTCTCACCAATTGTCTCCTTTTGAGTCTAGCCGCACCTGGTCTTTTCGGTATTTGGTGCGATCAATGTTTTCACCATATTTAGCAAAAATTGTGTTGTACGGCAAATGTTTTGTTTTATAAAAACAGGTTGCAATTGGAATTGCAATTGAAACCGAAAAATCTGTTTTTTAAAACCTAATTTTTTTGGAAGGAATTTTTTGCTTTCGCTGTGGTAATTTCAGAAAAAAATTTGATCTACATAATTTTTATTGCGAAAAAAAAAATACAAAGAATAATAAAAATTATTCAGTGTCACAACTCCGTCGTTTACCACTGTTTTTATTCTCATTATTATCGTCATCATTTTCAATGTTGTACAAATTTTCTACTGCGTCCGTATAACCTTTATTGTTACTGACAACTTCGTTCATTGTATGTGTCAGTTTCGTTGCCCTTGATGTGCTTGATTCTTCCTGTGGGTCATGGTCTGCGCAAGATATGGGATACCAACCACTTCATTGGATTAAATTTATTCCGTAATTTTTATAGTGTAATCTAAAAAAAATAAAATTCAACAGAAAAAGTAGACTGTTAAATACAAGATGTATGACGACACATGAAGCTTCCAAAGCAAGTTTGTAAAATATACTGATGAACTTTTATCAATTATTGAATAGCTTGTATCGAAATAAGTGTTAAAAGTCAAGATCTATGAATCTGTTTGTAAAATATATTTAATGAGCGCTTTATCAATTATCCAAATAATTATATAGGCTGGCTTGGTAGAAGTAAGTGTTAAAGTCAAGATCTATTTGCAAATCAAGTTTCCAAAAATGAACGTTTATTATTATAGGCGGGTTTGATCAAAGTAAGTCTTAAAGTCGATATCTGCGAAGCTGTTGGTAAAATATATTTAATTAACGTTTATTATTATCAATTATTCAATAACTATATAGGTGGGATCGATCGGTCAAGATCTATATAATTAGATTGTTAATAGTTAATAATGGAATTTTATTACATGCAAAAAAAAAATTTTTTGAGTTGTAAATTTTGTTTTATTAAATAAATTTGTTTGATTTTTTCATTCGTTCATGTTTCCTCTTGATCGTATATCTTAAATTGGTCACGTTTACAATCATTTTGACATTTGTTATATTAAGGTTATTTTGATTATATCGAGAGATATGGTCAAGAGAAGAGTTAGAGAGTTATTCTTCAACCAAGTCGAAAACCAACCCTTTAAATACATTTTCAAGTAGTAGGGTTTAATTTATTAAACTATTTCAAATGGTTGCTTCCAATTTCTTAAATTCGAACCATTTGTTAATGTTAATGAAACAATTGTTCGTGAAGTGATTGTTGACAAAATGAATCAAACCCACATTAAATGTTTTATTTTTAAATTCATGATTTTAATTGGTCAATCAATCAACAATTGCGTGGTTAAAATTTTATGTTACATATTGTATAATAACGAACAATTATTTCATGTGGCCGAATGTAGAAGGTTGAGTTCCGTGCGCTGAAATGGCCTAGAGGAATTTCTCTACGAAAAAATAACAAAAAAAAAATTTTTGGACGGCTGTCCTATTTATATGTTTCGAATTTAATAAAATAGACTATTGTCTTGGCCCGATTGATGTTATTTTTTTGCAGAAGACGCAAAACCCAGCTTAATTGAATTTTTATTCTCGCGTAGCACGGTATGTGTGTTTTGCGACACGAAAAGCTCACATTGCGTTCTCAGTTATAAGCTTGTTCTTTTTACAAATAAAATCAAAATGATTTTTTCTATGTATTACTGTCATGTATATAAATAATCATGACTACACTAATATTTTTGATGATTGGCAGTCAAAAAATTATCTACTGTTCATAGTAAAATTCGTGTTATCTACACTCTACCCTTAACTTGTAGCTTGATTATTTATGGACTCAAAGATGGTGCTGTTGTTGGAGTACGCCCCATATATATACATACCAAGGTCATCTTTTGGTGAGCTCAATTACCTCCCTTACCTGCTTGGCTTCTATGTAAATCCATGACACCGCCATCCCGTTTTGATGTATACTTTTTCATCAACATCCCGAGAAATTGCTCTTGATCCTGTGAAGGAGGTTCATAAAGAGCTAAAACGTCATTGTAGAATAATAGAGGTAGATGAGTTTCATACAAGCCAGATAATTAGTGATTTCTTATTTATATTTTTATATTTAGAATGTGTCCACATCGGAGATATTCTAATTGATTGTGGTATCAATAACATCAGAAGAGTGATCATTCATTATTTATTATTAGTTAGTTGTAAAACATAGTAAAATTCGAATTTACATAGTAATATAAAATTTTACAATCAAATGACTTCTAATCCCCATTTAAAACCCTTTCTGTTGTAGCAGCCATTGCCAAATTTGAGATATAACTTCTTTATCATATGTATCTGCTTTAAGAAAATTTTTAAAGCAGGTTGTTAATAAAACCGAAAATAATCTGACTCTCAAAGTCAAATTTTGCCTTTATATTCATATATGCAAATTTTTGTTTGACGCGTCCAATTGCAAGTATAGGTAGAAATAAATGTCCAAATATTACATTATTTGCAGATTTTTGATCACTTAGGTATGTCTTTTATAGTAAAACCATTTATTTTGAAAGTAAATTAAATTTTTTCTTTACCTACAGTATATACATAAATAATGATTAGAATAATAAACAAACAACAATAATGATTAAATTAAAAGGTGTTTTATCTCTGACTTTATTCATTTAATTATTTATCATAGTGATGTTATTAAATATAAAAGAGAAATTTATATACATCAATAAATGAATGATTGATAAAACGTTCATTTGCTTTGTAAGCTTCATAAATCTTATCCTTAATTGATAAAATGTTTGTTAGTATATTTTGTTCATATATTTTGTCCTTAAAGCTTATACAAACTATTAAATAATTAATAAAATGTTCATTTTTGTAAAACTTGCTTTGCAATCTTCATAGATCTTGTCCTTAACACTTACTTCAATCATTCCTACACAAACTATTGAATAATCAATAAAACGTCCATTTTTGTAAAACTTGCTTTGCAATCTTCATATATCTTGTCCTTTAACACATAATTCGATCACTCCTATAGAACTATTGAATAATTGATAAACGTTTGTTAGTATATTTTGTTCATAGATCTTGTCCTTAATGCTTACTTTGATCACTCCTATACAACTATTGAATAATTGATAAAACATTCGTTAGTATGTTTTGTTCATAGAACATGTCCTTGATGCTTACTTCAATCACTCTTATACAACTATTGAATAGTTGATAAAACATTTGTTGGTATGTTTTGTTCATAGAACTTGTCCTTAATGCTTACTTTGATCACTCTTATACAACTATTGAATAATTGATAAAACATTCGTTAGTATGTTTTTTTCATAGATCCTGTCCTTAACACTTACTTCGATTACTCCTATAGAACTATTGAATAATTGATAAAACATTTGTTAGTGTATTTTGCAAGCTTCATAGATCTTGTCCTTAGTGCTTACTTCAATCACTACTACACAAACTATTTAATAATTGATAAAATGTTTGTTAGTATATTTGGCAAGCTTCATAGATCTTGTACTTAACACTCACTTTGATCACTCCTACACAAACTGGATCTTAATCTTTATTATCATCCTCAAAAAGATGATTCGTTGTCATCACTTGCTAATTGTTGTATTAATATTATTGTTTAATGTTGCTATAACAACTACTGATCAATGGATATTCATTAATGAAACTTTAATCAATACAAAGTCAGAAATATAAAACAATCACCAATAAAATACCTTTTAATTTTTGCTGAATCCCCTTCTACATAAAATTCATGACTATTAAAATTTCTATAAAATAGTTTTTCGTGAACCTCTCTAAAACTTATTAACCAATACCCCCAATAAAGTAATGACCATATGAAAGCTTAAAGTATTCTACACCTTCTCATTTACTATCAAGTCGTTTAAAGCGATATTGAGAAAATAATCAGAGTTTTGAAGTGAAGAAGTAATACCGTTTTTGAATAGCCGTGAATTCATGTAAATAAGACCTTTCAGTATGGAAAGGTATTCATTGGAAAGCTTTAATGGAGTACTTTCATTTTACTCTAATAATGAAATTCGAGTATAAAAATAAACTTCATGTGACACGAATTTCAAATTTAAATTTACATATAGAAAATCAATTGATGTGACATTGTCACACAACTAGTTAGTTTTTCTCCTTAATCTTTTTTTTTTTCAAATCAAAAAAATTTTTTTTTGCAAAAAAGTTAGTCAGGCATTCATCAGTAAATGACTAGAAGTATGGTATGATACTGAAGGAGAAGTGTTATTTGATAACGACTAGAAGTGCTTTTTTTATTGATCTATTTTTTTTTTTTTTTTTTTATAATTTTATTATCTTATTAGTAGTGAAATAAAAATATGGAACAGGATTTGTCATTGTCTCTAGGTATTTATTAAGATTCTTCTATCATGATAACAAATGATTGGTGTTGCTTTTTGTAACTGTTATTAATATTAAACAATTATAGGAAATAGTCAAGGCAACATGAATGTGGAAACAACAATGATGGAACATTTAATTATCAGAAATTGGCAGATGCCGCCTTATCTAAAGCACTAAACTATTCTCAATCTTCCTATTGGTATAAAGGCTAATCTGACCCGGATCCCCCGATGATAGATGATGCAACTAGATTCCAGGGGGGGCCACATGGCCTGGAGTTTGCCAAGATTGCATTATTGTCAAAGGACACTTTGATGACCTAATCTTCCCTGCAGCAACAATCTTGTATCTAGTGTAAAGATGGCTACAACTAAGAAGTCACAACTCAGGAGGTCACAGAATTTTGAATAATTGTAATATTAGGAATCTGAATCACATTTACAAGCTAGGAGGTTGTGATTCTGAGGTTACATTTGGGCTAATTTTCAAAGAGCTGCTGGATATTTTCTGGATTTAGATACATATGATCACTAGGATCTTGGGCTTGAGAGGAAGGCCATAATCATTTTCTTAAATTCTCTGTTTTGATAAATTTTCTTTGATTAACTAATTTATTTTTTTTTTTAAATGGGATGGGGACTGGACTTTTCCCCAATCAGTTCCCTACCCTAGGTTCAGGCTTTTATTTGCGAGTAGACATGCCATCAACTAAGCAGCAATTTAACAGTTGATGGGTGCAATGGAGCTAATGGTTCAGCATTATATGCCAACAGAAAAGCCTGATCTGAGGGGAGAATGGGTAAACCCACATCAATGCAGTCCTCATGGAGGTTCTCAAAACCTCTTGTCCAAAGCCTTCCAATTTGTTCAAGCCTCTTTCATCTGTGGAAAAATTCTATATGTTGAAGGGTGCTTATAGCATGGCGCTTGCATATTTGTGTTAGGAAAATTTTATTAAATCTGACACTTGTGATCAATATAATCAGATTTATTATGGTTTTTAAGGAACTTCAAACCTGGGTTGACACATTATTAAAAGTTTTATCTTTATTTATTTCATATAGATTATAATTTTCTTTTTTTCTGCATGGTCTTTGTATTATTTATTACTCAGATGATGCAATTGTTTGTTATGTCAATGATAACATCAAATATATTGAATAATCATTATAATGGACATGTTTGGAGGCATTCATGCTCAAGGAAAAGATTAAATAGTAATGAAAAACTAAGTAATGTTTTTTTTTTTTATTTTAACCAAGACATAATTAATTATATTTAAAGATATACAGTAAAAAATTTGCCAGAGCAATTGCATGGAATCCAAGGATGCACCAATTGCGCCATTATATCAAGCCATTATTTGAATACCTTGCTGCAATCTTATTGAAGGGGGGAGTAAGGTTTGTATGTGATTTAAAATTCTTTTGTGGAAATTAAAGTCTTATCTTTCTTCATTTAATTGATTCTCATTTGTAGCATGAATTCCATAATGTGAAACAAAGTCTACAATACCACTAGATAATAGTTCTATTGTTGACGAAATAATAAATTTAAGCCTTTAGAAATGATCATCACATTACAAGTTATTCATGTAATTTTTTTTCTTGCAAAAAAAAATTAATTAAACAAAAAAAACTATGACTTGAAGAGTTGACATATGTCAGGGAAAACTAGAAGTTTATGTCATAATTTTATTAAAGCAATTGTTTGGTATAATTCTGAAAAAATTATCATATTTATTAGTAAAATTGCCTAAATTAATATCTTATTTAAAAAAACCAAAACAATTGGTTATTGGAAACTTATGGATCTTGAAATTATTTCAGGAATCAAGCAATATTTTATATTCCGATATACAACAAGGCTGGCCTGACCAGAATGCACAAGGGTATGATGATGCAATGAAAATTCCAGAGGAGGCATTGAAATTGTCAAGAGATTGTTAAAGCCTCTCACTTGGCTGAAGCCTCCAACTTTGCCTAGGACTTTGTTTGTAGAAGCATTCAACAGTTATGAGGTACTTCACATGTTTATTTATTGAAGGAAAATTTTATCAAATCTACAGCTAAGTTCAATGTTATATTTGATATTGTTTTTTATTTTTTGAATTGATTTTTATGGGCATTAAATACAATTGGAGGAGAAACTCAACCACACTATCACTTGGGTGACAGAGCTATTGCAGGTAAAAATTAAATTTGATTTAGGTTAAATATGCAGTAAGATGCACTGTTTTAGTTAAATAAAGGTCAACCTTTTGATAATGGCATATTTTAACCATTGTCAAAATTTTTTTTACCAATGCATTGTCTTACATAGAAAAGACTTTTGGATCAAAACCATTAAGGGTTTTTTCAAAACTGTTCCATAAATTTTCATTTTTGGATGGTATTACTTGGGTGATGCAATTATTCAAATAACAAAAAGGTATGCTCTTTATGTAATGGGCCATTTGGCTTGGGAAAAATAGAGAGAATCTGCTATAGATAGTAATAATTTGTGTGTGACATATAAATTGGGCTTGTATTTGCAGTTTATAGAGAGCGAATTGTGATATTTAGAGAAAATATAAGTATCGATTTTTGTTAATATAAGTATTGATTTTTGTTAATATTGATTTTTATTATTTATTTAAACAGTTTGATTTGATTTAATATTCCTACAAAAATTCATCATAAAAGGGAATTGAACAACTTCTGATATTTGCTTGAAAAAGCAAAGGACAAGTTTGGATGGGTCCTTGCTTGAAACAGCAGGGGAAATCAAATACTGCGTTAGCATCATCAGGAAATTTAATATTGAATTAAGCTTGCCTGCTGAAACTCGTTTATAGTTTCATTTGTTACCTTAGAAGAGTCGGACAACACCTTTGATATAGAGAAAATAATTTAGCGGTGTTACAAAATCGTTATTTTTTTCTTCACGACAAATAAACCTGGTTCTATCATTATATCGAACAAAAAACGAATCTTGATATACATATAGTTATAGTTGTTAAAATAATAGGTCTAAACCCTAAATACGCAATAAAGTACATAATTGTTAAAACGCACTATAATCACATTGAAATAAGTCTTTAATATAATCACTATAAATTATAATCACCAAATATGTCTAGTTTTGATATCCCTATTATCCTTGGTAACAAAGATAAACAATTACCCAAACCAATTAATAACCGTCCCGGGTATGATACGAAGTATATTCAGGCGTGTATTAGTCATTATTTTAGTTCTGGTTTTAGTGGTGAACGATACAATCAACTCTTTGAGATTGAAAGATACGATGCATTATCAGTTATTCAACCCAATGAAACTCCTCAACAATGGGCTATCCGTGTAAGAGTTCCTTTACAAGAGCTGGTCTCTGAGAAAAAGGAGCTTTTACCATAGATGTTGCTTATTCAGTTCGTATGGCAAGGGGAAGCTAGTTGATTTTGACTACTATCGCCCTAGAATTCATAGAAGTCACATGGCAATATGTCTTGATTGTATGAAACTTATAAAGATTGATGATGTGAAACCTAGGAAATCGTTCGATTATGGTTGGCAAAGATTTGTGGAAATTGTCGAATCTGAAGACCTGATGCAGTATCATTGGGATCATGAATGCGATAAGCCTAAAACCGATTTTGGGCATTCAAGGATTATACAAAAGGTTTGGAGAAAGAAATTATAAGATCTGAATCATTAGCATCACAAATCTGGAATGCTGTAAGAAATGATAACACCCCAAATGATAAGAAATTTTTAGGTCTAACTCCACATGAAGTGAAAAATCCTCAAACTCGAAATCAATTCAATCTCTGGATTGCTGAGATGATTGCAATGTATAGGAGAGATAACCGTGATATGCTCTGCTTCTTTCTTAATAGAAATTATGAAGAATATTATATTCTGTATGATTGGATGGGTGATAAGAAAAACCAATTATACGATAGATTGAATAAGCATGTTGTAGATTTGCTAAGAGAATGAGGTTACAGATTAGTTAATCCCAGACCTTGGTATGAAATGATAAAATGGGCAGATAAACCAGATAAATATCTTAACAACAAAAATTTCATCAGAATCGAATAATACGTCGCAACTATTTTACATTGATAGTTGACAATCAATATTTTAATGGCTAAGTTCATAGAACATCTACATCATGCAAATATGGCTATATTGGCAGAGTAACAAAGAAAATTAGTTAATCAAAATTATTCAAAAGGTAAAACACGATATTGCAGTATTGATGCTGCTGCTCATTATAGCTATGATTGAGCCTAAAATGTTCATGTGCCCCATTCTGACTAGCAAGTAAGCAAAATTTATTATCTTAGTCCACATAAAGTTCATTTATTTGGTATTCAAGATGAAGCAGTAAGGGAACAAATCAATTATATTCTTGATGAAGATGAAATTATAGGAAAAGGCCCTAATGGTACACTTAACATGATCTTTGATGGAATTAAAAAATTGAATTTAGCACCTGGAAAGAAATTATCATACAAAAACAAGAACATAAAAAGTAAACCATTTTTTTTATATTAATATTTTTAAAAGGTTAATTCAAAGCTAAATCCATTTATGCGATGATTGCTGCACAATCCAAACATCCTCCTTGTCATCAATATCATCTTCTATTTCTTCTTTTTTAACTACATCCATACCTCTTTAATAATAGAAAGATGTGAAAGAATTCTTAAAAACAATTAACACCTCCAAGTTCTGACAAAGATGAAGAAATGTAATAAATATTTATTTTGCTGATTATTTTCTATATATAAAAAAAATTTTTGAGATTAAAAATTGCAACTTGTATATATTATATTTAATACATTTCTTTATGCAATATTATTTCTATGTAATAATATTTATCATCTACATAATTAAGTGATTGGTTGATTGTTTGTTATTTTTATATTTTTGACGCTTGCGATATAATTCTCCAACCCATGATTTTACAAGCGAATGATTAAATTTTCCTTTTGTTGACTCAAAAAACTCTTCTAAATCTTTATTTTGAGCTATTAATTAATTAATAAAGAGAAAAAAAATCACACAATTACTACCACCATCACCAGCATAATAAATAATAAAACCAAATAAATAATTAATAAGTCAGCTACATTACATTGTTCATATTCAAATGCTTGGAGTATCAATTCAAATTTATCCAAATCTTTAACAAATTTTGCTTCATTGCTAATTCCATCTTCATATTCTTGCCATAAATCAAATATTTCTTTAGATTGTTGAGAGTCATTAAGTAATTCTTTGCACAGATGTTTCATTGCCTCCTATAAACACAGTACGTATATATAATATATGAATAATTTATTATATTATTATTAATTGAAAAAAAAATTGCGCTCAATTATTACCGATTCTCTACGATTTTTTTCTGATTTACTTATGCCTTGAAATGGTGTTATGTCTCCCTATATATACATGTATGCAAATTAATAAATATATATATACAATATTATTTCCCAATGTTAGTGACGATAATATAAAAGAAAAAAGTAAACTAACCACTATACATTCAGCTAAATCATGTACAACTGCCATCTTTACACATCTATTTTAATCAAATTGCCAATTGTTTCGGAACCATATGTAAGTATATGTGTGAGCGAACGATCAAATCATTAAACGAGCAAATGAATTAATTAAAAATGAAAATTTGATTTATAAACTACTTGTTCCTATCCAAGGTTGGATCATCAAGCAATAACGCCAGTATTGACATACGGTGCATGTGATCTGAAATAGATTCAGGATCTTTGATTCCATTATCCACCCATCCTGTACGTTTTGTTCTCTATTATCAAATTTATAATTTGAAAAAGTTTATATATACACTCGCTTCGTTTGAATGACTAATTGATTGTTTATTACCTTTAATTGTTCACAAAAGTGAAGAAAATCTAAAATTTTAAAAGCACTAGAAACATTATTATCGGTATTATTATCGCTGCCATTGCTTTTGTCTTTGTTTCTATAGTTGCTGTTGCTGTCGTCGCTGTTGTTGTTATCATTGGTATCATTAATGTTACTTTTATCCATTATAAATTAAATTAAATTTTTTTTGATCAGTCAGTTTCTTAGCACTGATCATTTTGATTAGCCTTTTTGTCGATCAATTCACTAGCCTGAAATTGTTTAGATTTTAAAATATGTAAATAGTGCTAATGCTATTAAATAAACTCATTAAAACTTCAACTTATTCATACATTCTCATAAACCATAAATCATTCAATAACCATTGTTGCTTTTAATCAACAATAATTTAATTAAAAAAAAATGCATACTTTCGACAGTGAACTTTTTGCTATTTTTAATTGAGTTCGCTCTTGGTTTTCTGCTGCACTATAAAACCAACTCTATAATATAAATAATATAGATAAAAAAATTGATGAAACGAACGGCCAGGAAAAATCAAAACCAAACAAACTTACTGATGATAAAAAATGCTTAGAAAAAATCGAAAATTTATGGAAGGATTCCAAGCAAATATTTGATAAAAAGACTGAGTTGAGCTCAGATTTTCATTTAGTAAAATGGCCATTAGAATTCATAAGTTGCTTGGGGAGAGAAAAGGAGGACCTACTTTCAAATAAAAAATTCTTATCAACGAAAAATGAATCCTAGGAAGAAAACAGTAGAAGAAATCCAGGAACGAGTTGACAAGGAAAAGAAGAGAGATGTGAGAAGATAGAAGATGAAGAAAGAAAAATTAGTGATATTGATAAAAGATTTAGATTTGCACCAGAGTAACCTAAACTCATCGATGGCTTTGGGTTTGAGTATTTTCCTCCATGCTCCGGTGGTTTTTATCTTACAATTTTTTTAATATTTATACGTATTTTTCTTAGTTTCTTGAATGTGAATGCCTTTGTCCCACTATTGTATCATGATAATTATGCAATGCATTTGAACGCAGAAGTGAAACTTTTAAAGAATTGATTTCGAACAATAATGCGTGTCTACTCAGGTCTCTGGGATTCACAAAATAAATAAATAGGCCTATCTTCCCTTAGATCAGGTTTGACTGGGCTGTTAGGGAGGATTCCAATTGTATAGTTCCTTAAAAACCATGTTGTTCTTTTTTTTCGCGTGTTTCCTATTTTCAATTCCTTCTTCGTATTTCCCGTACGTTTTCAGTGAGAGTTACGTGATGTATTAAATACGAAACACGTACAGGAAAAAACGAATCCCGTATGTTTTCTGTAAATCCCTCCGGGCCATTTCGGCACATGGAATTCAACCTTCTACATTCAGCCACGACGCCCCTGTCCATCTTCAAGCAATCCAAACTCATGTGTATGAATGTGTATGCTATGTGAGCACATTCAAACCATGAAGTTACAAAAAAAATACCGCTGCGCCGAGTACTTCATAGACGTCGAAACATCAAAATTAGCCAATAATAATATTATTTATTCATTGAGCAAAAAATTTATTTAATTTAGAAAATGTTTTTACCCCATGCACGAATTCTATGTGAGATCGTTGTGTCTCAAAGTTTTAATGATTGGAATGCAAAATGTGAGCTATGGATGCGACAACAACGCATAAGGTATGTATTTGGAATCAAAATATATTCAGAAGAGATTACAAGAAACGCAAATGGGCAATTTTATCGGTGCATGATTGTATGTGTTATGGTCTATTTGACTATCCAAATATTTTCAAAATGGTTCAAAGCTTTTCTAATATCAGGTTAGGCTCTGGGGTCGCGAACTAGCACCATTACCAAGACATGAAGCAGTAACCGGGCAACCATGAGTATATTATGAAGAGATTAGATTGACTCACCATTGGTGTTTCTTGTAATCAAACGTCAGAAACTTAAAGATATTTTTGCAAATATTATTGTGGAATTTTGGTACTCTTGATTATTACACTGATACTCCTACTGCTTGCACTGGACCCCAGGACTTTCTACCTATCAAGTCAATGTTCCAGTCCAAGACGTATCCTATAATTCACCTATTGTCAGATGAGCTCCTTCTACAGCCGGATTTAACTGTTTCATTAGAAACTGATGTCGTATACAACTAGTCCCGTCCTATTCAATAAATTTCTAAGGGAAAATTCTATATACAACAAACTGCTATCTTAACCAATCCGAGTGCACTTACTTTAGCATCTTCGTCCCTGAATATTTTTTCTAACCTTGCGTCTTTCATAAGCATAAATAAGAATCTTGCTGTGCTAATTATATACTGTATATATATATATTCTAACACATATTTGCTTGCTTCTTTTCATGAGCTAAAGATATGATTCGATCAAGTTCAAATGCTTGCTTCAGCAATAGCAGCAACATCATATTTATGTGTTTCAAATCAATCTAATTCAAACTCGAACAAGAAAAAAGCAAATTGTAAGTGATCTTGGTTATTTACGACAGCAACAAAGTCTGAGCATCTGGAACCGCGTCCACTATTTGATGTTGAAATTCCCAAAGGGGAAGAATTTTAAGTTGGTGAAGCGGAAAGGTTTTTTGCCCAAAGTTCCGTAACATATGTAAAAGAAGTCTCGGATATTTTAAAGAGAAACATCTAGAACTAAAAATTCTACCCCTAACCTTTAAATAATAACGTATAGTATGATGTTATTATCCCCATGTTATTCAAGAACAACAGACACAAGTTTATTCTAATTTTTGCCAACTGACTAGGTTTCTTCCCCATTCTAACTTGCCTTGAAAACAATTTGACTTTTTTAAAAGCTTCTGTAAACAGTGACATGGATGGCTCCGGATGTACCACTTTATTTATTCAATATAAATAACCACAGGAGACATATTCCACTGTGCTATTTAACTCTTGGGTTTTTTCTTTTTAAACAATGATAATCTTAACAAAAAGTATGAACAACAATTATTGGATATTACCATTTTTTATCAAGACAATATCTACTTTCTATAAAAAAGGAAGAAAGTAGTTACTACAATATTTTCTGCGCATAATATTAAACACACTTGAACAGTGAGGTGCATTTGACCAGTTACTTACAATTCAGGCAGCAATTGCAAACGAAAGCAATTTCTTTACCCATTTGACAACAATTACAATCATTTCTTGATGGCAGAAATATCTTTTTTAAAATATTTGGTAAAATTAAATTAATTTTTTTATTTTTTATTGATCTTTTTAACCATTAAAAAAATTGTTGTTGACTTGGACCGCATGTCCCAAGTTTTATAAGTAGAATGGGTATGGCTTCTAAGCTATAAATGTTCTTCACAATGAGATATAGATGGGAATTGAGTTATATATTAAGAATCTTTTACATAATCGAATATATAACGAATACATTTTTTAATTGAATTTAATTTTCATGCAATAAATTATATTTAAATACATTTACAAAGTTTTAAATAAGGTATCTTTTATTTTTTACCATACATTCTATCAATATCACCTTGGTATTTTTGTTGAATATCTCTACGTTTGATTTTTTGTGCTGCTGTCAAAAGTCCCTATTTTTTTTTTTAAAAAAAAAGGCAATGGCATAATAAATATAATGAACAATTAATAACATTAATAACAATAATGATTATGATATTTTCTCTTGAATTACATTTTCGGTGGTCCATTCTTCATGCAACAATGTAATTGCAGATAACAATTCTGCGGGTTTAAAATCTGCCTTCTTTGCCTCAACGAGACAAGCTTGAAGCACTGAATTTGTTATTTCCTTATCTTGACATAGTTTTTCAAAATCTGTTTCAGTTATGTTTTTTTCCATTGCAAGTTTTCTGACTCGTGCTTCAATAGGAAAAATTAAAGCTACAGGACGTGACTGATATGAATCAGCACAAACGCAAATATTGGACACGAATAAGGTTGATTTGTAAACTGATTCCAATCTTTCAAGTGCAATGTATTCACCATGGGCCAATTTCACCAAATTTTTCTTTCTGTCAATGACAGCCAAGCATCCATCTGGCTTCCATTCTCCAATATCTCCTGTTTGTAGCCATCCATCTTCTGTAAACGTTTCTTTGGTCACTTTTTCATTTTTATAATAGCCTGGTGTGACTGCAGGCCCACGAAGCCAAATTTCTCCTCGTGGATTGGGAGTATCTGTAGATTTATAACCAGCATCTGGTACATCAACTAATTTTACTTCTGTACAAGGTACTGGTGTTCCCACGCTGCCATAAGTAAATAGTTCTGGCGTAAGAATTGTACCAGCCATACTAAAAACAATGCAATATAGAATTATTAATCAGGATATTGTTGGTTAACTAATTAATTAATCGACTAGACTTACCCACAAGCTTCAGTCATACCATAACCTTGAAATATTGGACATAAAGTTACGCATAAAAATTCCTGTGTTTCCTTAGAGATGGGTGCACTACCAGACAATGCAAGTCTCAATCTTCCACCAGTTTGTTCTTTTATCTTATCAAATACCAAAGTATCAAAAGGTTTGGAGGGTAAACCTTTTCCCATTAACCAACTTTTAGTCTTGAAAGCTACATCAAAAATCTTTTGTACAGTTGGACTACTCCCATGGACTTTTGAAAGAATACCTTTCCTAATTGATTCCCATACTGCTGGCACACCAGTCATTACACTAGGTTTCAATTCACACATGTCGCCAAGACAATTTCTTACAGATGAATCTGTTAAAGTACGAGGTGATCCATAACCTAAGGTAACACCCCACCAAAGACATACATGTTCCACACCAAACTCAAGAACATGAGCAAGTGGAAGGTATGCAAGGAATGAGTCATCCTCTTGAATTAAATGTCCGAGCATTTTTTCAACGCCACCAACTAAATGTGAGAGAATTAATAGAATAAGAAGGAGGTATCAAATTTTTTAATTTTAAAAAAAAATTTTTTTTTAAAGGAAAGAAACTTACTTGCTGCAACAAGATTAGCATGAGTCAATATGACGCCTTTTGGATTACCGGTAGTTCCAGAAGTATACATAATACAACATATATCTTGTGATTTTGGTGGGTTTGTATTTATTGGATAATCTTTGCCTAATTGTTTAAGTTCTTCCAATGTAAAAATTCCAAGGTTTGAATGAGCATTTGACAATTCTTGCAAGACTGATCCTTTTGCATCACCATCATAAATTATAAATTTAAGAGTTGAACATTTTCCAGCAACCTTTTTAACCATTGGAAGTAAATCTGCGTTAGTAAATATTCCATTAACTTCTGCTTCATTCATTGAATGGAGAAGACCTTCTTCTCCGAGGGTATCATATGCAGTCACAATAGTCATACTCTGTGAGAAACAACCTATGGATTAAGATGATTTCGCAAAATCAATACTTTGTTACATATACATTGTTTGTTTATAATTAGATATTAGCAACGCTTACCATGAGTCACAAGCATCCAATTGGCACTAATATATTTTATATACATAAAGATAACAATAAGAAATTTAGTATCATATATAATATAAATATATATATATATATATATATATATAATAAAATAATTTTTTATTACCTTGTAGCAGCAAAGATTGCAATTTTAGACCCTTCACTTAAACCTAATTTTACCAGGCCAGCCCCAATGGTTTTAATTTCTTGATCCAAATCATTATAAGTTAACCAATTATAACCTGATAATTGAAAATATTTCCAAGTTTTCAATTCTTTTTTTTCGACCCCTCCAACAATCTTTGTGACTTCCTTTTCTTCTTCAACAATCCTTTCGATTTTTCTATAACCTAAAGCATTTTTATTATCACCATATTTTTTAACACTGCGTTGCACCACATCATAAAGAGTTTTAACACCTTCCTCGGGCGAATCAATCAATTTATCAGGACTTAGGCGAGAACGACGAGTGCGACATTCACCTTCAACTTTAGTACCAATTTCAACGCTCATTTTCAAGGTTGGGTTTTTATTTATTTATTTTTCAATCAGAAAGAGATTCGTGAATTGCTTAGAGATCGACATTTTATAATAATTTTTGTGCCACAGGAAGAAGAACATCTAAAAAAAAAAAATAGTTTGTAATAATAAAATTTAATTATTATTCATACACACATGTAATAGCAATGAAATTTGAAATTCACGCGTGCGAAATTCAAATTAGCCAATTGGAGTTTTACTCCGCCCCAAAATTTAATTGTTGATTGAATATTTGAAACTTTCTAGGAAACGCGTGACCGATTCATTCACGGATTGTATGAAAAATGTCTCATTCGATTTAACTATACTTTAATACAAAATGCTTTCACTATTAGTTACCAAAATCTTGATTTTTCGATCAAATTAAACTAATTAGAAACAAATCAGGAGTTAGATCCCTTTTTTTTTATAATGAATTGTCCCAGACCTTGAAAATTTTTGACTTTTATTCCATTATTTGATAACTGGCTACAGAATATTATGAAGGAATAAAGAAAAAACCAGTAGTAAATCACGTGATTTCAACTGTGAACCCATTTTCTCCAACAATTAACTCTTCTATGAGCCAAAATCACTATTTCGTTCAACTTATTAATATTGAAATAGATATTTGAGAAAGAAATGCTCGTAATATGGTGTGTTTGTATTCCTTTCATTCTAAATAATGTAATTGCAAAAAAAAACAGTAAAATTCAACCCTATTGTAAAACTGAACATCAGATTAGTTGGAAAATGATTTAAAATAACTTTAAAAAACAAAACTTTGTTTAAATTTTATTCGAAACAAGTTGGTTGTTTTTTAGTAATTTTCCAACAACAATAATTTTCCGTTTTTTTTTTTGAAACATATTTTTGTTAAAGGCGTTGAATTTTTAAATCATTCTGCGTCTTTTTTTGTTTTACCGATCAATACATAGATCAAAATCTGTCCAGTTCACCTATTTTTTAGCTACAGTCATTAAAATAGCATCAAATGAAAGCTCAAAAGTTATTCTATCACTTATGGCACTTATATTTTTCATTTTCTTTTTTAAAGTATTTTTCTAACGTAATTTTTGCATTAGTAAAACTTTTTAGTGGTCAAAAAAAAAAAAAAAAAATCAAATCGTCGCCTAATTTTAAAGCATAGGCCATAAATTACTCTCATGCCAATTTCCAATAAATGTTTATTTGGTAATTATGGAGAAAATAGAATTTGAATTTTTAATTTTGAATTTGATTGACGCGAATCCAAAAAAAAAAACAAAAAAAAACAAAATAAAAAATTTTATTCAAACATGAACAACAATAATAATAACAAAAATTCACAAGCGATCTTGAGTATTAAGGCGACAACAACGACAACAAGTGCCGCAGCTTTATCAGAGCAGTTACTATATAGTAATAGCAGCGATAACTATAGTAATAATGATAATAGCCGTGATAACAACAGTAATTAGTAACAACAACAACAACAACTATTTATTATTAATAATAACAATTATAATGACGATGATGATGGTGATGATGATTATAATTATGATTATGATTTTGATTTTGATTATGATTATGATTATGATTATGATTATGATTATGATTATGATTATGATTATGAAGAACTTGAGGAAGAAGGAAAGGAGAAGACGAGGTTGATGGTGATAATAATGATGATAATGGCAGTCAGTAGTGGCGATGATAATGGTGGTGGTGACAATGATGACAATGATGGTAATAATGGTGGTGGTGATGGTAATGGCGAAAGCAAACATATGAACACTTGAGGGTCACGACACTAATACGGCATACGACATATGACATATGGCAAGTACCGTATGCCGTAGGATCACAAACAAAATCATTTTTTAATTCGGGTTGTTGACATTACTTAAAAAAGAAAAGATAAACAGTTACAGCATACGGCATACGGCAAACCTTCCAAGAGTTACGACATAGTTGCGACATAGCCGTGTCATAACTATGAGTTATAGTTCGGCAATATGTCTGCACCCTTAATTATTACCATCATTACTACCATCACGGTGATGGTAGTAATGATGGTAATAATGGTGGTGGTGATGATATGGATGTAGATGTAAATTATAATAATCAAATTATTACGAGTACTTTACTAATAAAAAGTTTTAATGTAAATATATTTATAACTTATTCTAGATTCCATTAACAAGTTAATTAAATTGTATTTTAATAATAATAAAAAACATGGATTAATATTGAACCTATTCTTTGTTGTATTTTTAAACCTATCATTGATCAAATTTACAATAGTGGTAGTGATTATTATAATTCACAATTCATCGTTCTAGTTGGTAAAATAAAAGAGGTTGTTAATTTTATAGATGATAACAATAAATTTCGAACGTATGTGAAGGGATTTTTGCAAAGTCCCGGCAATGTTTTTGCACATTGTATTTATCATTAGTGTAGCTCGTGGGAATTTGAACTCACTCACAATTGTGATAATTATTAATTTTCCATTTTTTCTTCCAGTTAATGAATGTATAATAAAAAAACAAAAAAAGCAAGTTGATAGTAAGCTTAATAAATAACAACCTTCTTATAAAAATTAATTGAATCTATATAATTAAATAAATAATAATAAATTAGTTTACTAATAATAATTAAATATCATCTATGGAAAATAACTATTACATCGACAATAAATGTCCAGTATAACATACTAGTGAACATATTTTCAATGTTTATATTAAATTGTCACCATAACTATTTCTTAAACATTATGTGTGAATATTAACAGCGGTTTCTGAAAAAAAATTATAAATTTAACTCGGAAATTTTTACAATTAAAAATAAATAAATAATAATAATTTGAAGATTAAATATATATTACCCTAAAATTGTAATATTAAAAGTTGACACCTATTGCTACTCTTAAAAGATTTAATCTGTTTTTCAACATTTTATAAACATGTAAGTAACATCATTTGCCATTCTAGACTTCAATGTTCTAAAATTTAAAATGTCAAAAAAGAAAATATAACTTTTGTAAAATAAAAAAAATGTGGCTTTAGTAATTTTAAGATGGAAATTTAATATAATCGTTAACTTTAAAATTATTTGTTTGTTTATAGAATTCAAAAATGGCGATGATATTTTTTCAATTATTATCATTATTGGATTTTTTCAAAACTTTTTCTCTATCTTGCTGAATATCCTTTTTAGGAACACTGATTTTTATTAGATGTGTACTTGTGAGCCTCACTATATAAAATAAATTATAATAATTATAATCAAATTCATTTATCTTTCTAGACCAAGTCGCTAATATCTATTTACTATTAAATAAAGAAACTATAATCAATAATAAATTATCATTTTCAAAAAATATTAATATAATAAATTAAATTGATAACAAATATTAACTATTACGCTTATAATTATTTTTATCACTGTTATCAGTATTAACATTATTATCACTAATAATAAGATGGAACTATATTAAATAAAAAGGAGTAACAAAAACTGATGACGATGTAAAAAAATGATATGGTATATTTACTTCACTAACTAATGCATTTATCCAGAAATTATAATTGTTTGAGTATAATTTGATAAAATAAAATTCATAAAACAAATTATCTTCCCAAAGCCTACTATATATTTAATATAACACTTACTACATATTGTTTTATTCTCCCCTTCCGCATCATTAATATATTGCCACATTGGCTTCATTATTTTCAAATTAATTTCTCAATTTCTGATTCTATGATCTTTCTAATTTAACCTTCAAAGTGCCCCATTACAATTGTCTTTGCTTTATAATCGCTTCTAGTTTTATGAACATCTTGAGGAAAGTGTCAACAAAACAACACTTTCGACTTGTCGTAGAATAACCAATACTTGTGCTAACTTCTTGCTTAAATAGTCATTTGAAAACCCTTTCAATTTTTTGTATCAAGGGTTGTTTGATATCTAACCAAATTTGTGTAAAAATCTGCGGTAATTATCCTAATTTGGTTAGTACACATTATCCGTGCACTTGGATTCCATAATGTTATATCACGTGGTTTTATTTGAATCAAAGTTCACGACTTCAAATGTTTTCTTGTTATTTAGCTTTATTTAACCGACATTTTCAAAGGTAAATAACTGTCATTGCTACACTGACTGGAGATGTAGGTATGAAATCAAAGAAAATACCATATGACTGAATCAGGGAAGCATTCTGTTGATCGAAAAACAAAATTATTATTATTATGTATTACAGTATTAGTATTACATTACATGAATGACGGCGCATAATAATAAAAATTTTTACTTTGTTTTAAAAAAATATAAATAGTCTTTATAAATGTTACCAAAGTTGTTTGAGTCGACAAGATCTTATCAAAATTTATCAAATGATTATTTAAATTTGTTAAACCAAGAAGATACATTTGACGTGCTATTAATCGTGGGAGATGAAAACAACTTTGAAACATTTAAAGCTCATTCGATTATTTTAAAAACTAGATCAGAATATTTTAAGGCGGCTTTATCAAATTCCTGGAGAAAAGATGGGTTTTATAATATTGATTTACGTGGATTAAACATACAATATAAATTATTTGAAAATATACTTTATTATATTTATGGGGGTATGATAATAAATTTAGACAATTTAAATATAAAAGAGAAATTGCAATTATTAAAAACAGCAGATGTTTTAATTATGGATTCATTTGTTGATTATTTAGAACAGAATTTGATCAAAGAAGAAAAAAGCTGGTATAAAGATCAAGCAAGTGAGGTATTATTTGTAACTTTACAAATCACAAAATGTGAAAAATTACTAAAATTATGTAATAATGCCATATTAAGAAATCCTAAAAATTTTTTTAGTTCTAAAGAATTTTTATTTATACCTAGAGATTATTTAGCAAAATTATTAGATAGAGACATATTAGGATTGGAAGAAATAGATGTATTTGTAGGTGTAATTATGTGGGGAATGAATAATACACCTAATATATCACATTTTGATGATTTTAGATTATGGTCAACAGAAGATCTTACATCTTTAAAATCAACAATAATACAATTTTTGAATAAAGTTAGATTCTTTCATATGCAACCTGAAGATTTTATTAATAAAGTTGGTCCTTTGATTAAAAACTTTTCACCTGAATTGTATGAACAAGTAATTCAATATCATTCAAAGAAATCAACACCTAGCTATTATAATATATTGCCATTAAGATTAAATTCTTTAATAATTAGAGAAAAAGAAGAAACAGCATTAATTTCTTATTGGATAAAACATTCTTATGATAAAAAAGGAAGAGAAGAAGATGATAATAATAACAATACTACTCATAATAATAATGATGATGATAAAGATGAGAACATGAGTTTAATTAAAACATATGAAAAATATTCAATGATACCATTTAATTTTCATTTAATATTTAGAAGTAATGGAAATGAATTAAAAGAAGATGATAATAATAATAAATGGAGGCAATGTTGTTATAACCAGGGACCAACATTAACTGTAATTAGAACAAAAGATATCAATGAAGATGAGGTAGTGTTTGGTGGATTCAAGTCGGTTAGTTGGTCAGACAATGATATAATTGGTGGAGGAAAAGGTTTTATATTTGGTTATTTGTGGAAAGATGACAAGTTATTGTTACCTTGGATGATGCCTGTGAAAAATCATTTTTACGGAGATAAAATTTTAGGTGATGGACAATTATTATTTATTAATTTTACAAATGGTAATAAGTTAATAGCGCATGCAAACGTTTGGAGTTTAGAAGAAACAATTGAAGAATTGGAAGTATTCATAGTTTTACATAAAGATACATTATAACATTAACTCAAAATCCTTTTATTTCTTTTGTAAATTTATTATTAAAAAATCCCCATTTCCTTTTTTTTCATCTCATAATCGTCAATAAACCATTCATGTTTATTATAGTTTTTCATATTTGGGGCCGGCTAGAAATTACACTTTAAAACTATAGGATCAGTGTTCGAAATTCATCGTCACGCGCTAACCAAATTTGGAATTAATTTCTCAAATAAGTCTAGTTTTATGTTAAGGCGCGGTCGAATTTCGAACACTACTGCTTTTCTGATTTCAGTGGGAACCGACTTTATTATCATCATCATCTCCTTGAGCTGCATTGCCTACCTACACTCATTTTTCAATTAGTATTGATGTTTTCTCTGTCAATAACAATGGTATTATAGTTGATCAAATTATCACTGCCATATATAAATAAATAATGTTGATATTATCACAATATTTGTGTTTGAAGTAATTTGAAAGAAATTTAATTTCTTCATGGTTACAGCTGGATAAAGATTTCAAGATAGAGTTTTCCTTCCACTCACTGATATCTATTCAGTCCGAGTCGTAACATGGGGAAAATGATAAGGTTTTATTTAATATCTTTTATGGCTTTGGAAATTTCTGCTTTCAATAGATTGAATTCATGGAAAGGCCCAATAACAATCTCTTGGGCTCTCACTGCACCACGGATTAGAGGTTTCAAAAGAAAAAATTTGAATTTCTTATACTTCTAAACTTGATTTATTATTATATAACAAGCTTTAACTTGAAACCATTCATCAGTAAAGGCTTATTCACCCAATTTATTTTATTTGCTACCGATTATTTTTATTATTACTAATATATAGTAGACATTTATTGGTTATTATTATTATTATTATTGTAAGAACAAAATTTAACATTATTACTATGTAGTTACATACTAATGATCATAACGGGTTAATTTAATAAATCTTTTTTTTTTTTCACTTCTATTTTAAAAGTTTATGTAATTTAATTGAAGAAATTATGAAGAAAGAATAGTTCGTCTTGATGAGAGGTTTATTTCTACTTGTGATGTCAGCTGATTATAAATCTCAGCGAGAACTTGAATTTTTAATCATTTATTACTATTCCATGTATCATATTATCATTATAATTACTACTACTGTTGTCGTTGTATCTAATAATTTGTCATTACCAATGCTAATACTAATAATACTGTTATTATCTTAAATTAAATTTACATCGCGTTGATCAGTTATATTCTATTGTACTGCTTTTAATTTGAGTTGTACAACTTTAAAATTTTAATATACTTTAAAATTTTTAAAATTTTTTTTAAAACCTTTCCTAAACCTTTTTTTCTATTCAAACTAAAATTCTCCTTTGATATATTATTTACTGTATAATGAAACAAAATCAAGGAAATTGTGGAAATCGCAGAAGTCATAAAAGTTGTGGAGGTCATGGAATTCATGGAAGTCGCGAAAGTCATGAAGTTATAGCAGTTGGTAGAGGTCGTTGTAAAAGTCATGAAAATAATGAGAATATAAAAAAAATGAAGAGACAAATAAAAACCATCTAGATACTGCCCTACATGGTAATTTTTTTAAATATTTTAATTTATAAAAAATTTATATGTAAACTTTTTTAATCTTTATTTATCAGAAAATAATCCAGAAATTCATAACGAAAAGGTAAAGAAAATCTATAATTTTTACTTAACTGACTGGCTTATGAGTTGCTCTTCGGTTTGATCGAAGAAATTACAAGTGTGCACCTTTAATTTTTTTCTGATGTCTTTTATTGGATAGAGACAATCATCCAATGATTGATATGGTTACTAATTATCCCGCCTCTTTAAGTGATAATTCATTCAGAACATTATTTGATGACGTATGGCTAAGTTTTTCACTGCACAATAACTGAAAAAGTAGACACGTTTTTTTTCAGCATCAAAAGGATAATAAGTTTTCGACAACATTTCATAGATTCTATGAAATATCCATATACACCGAAGCAATTGCATATGCTTTCCCGAAAGTGAGATGTATTGTTTTTAGATGTATTTGCGAAGATATATCAAGCACGAAATCAGCATCCTTTGATTATTAAAACTTCATCTAATGGTATTAACTCATACAAATTGCCTTCTTTATTTTACGAAATAACCGATCGTTACCTTCCAAAAGGCTTTGTTACTTCTAGGAAACCATCTACAAACATTTTTTGCGATTGCATATACTGTTATTACAATAACTATACTAATTTGAATAATTGTAGTGTACTTGTGCGTTGACATGGTTATCACAATCATTGTCTACAAAGGTGCCAATCTAAATGTTTGATATCTTCAAGTCGAAATCAAAAAAAAAGTCAACGCACTAAAAGAAAGTACGACGAAAAGATTAAACAAAAATGAGTTTATTGAAAATATCGAAAATATCGAAAATATCAAAAATACAATTGATGATGCAGCAACAATGGAAAATTTATTAGAGCATGCAAAAAAAAATTTTTTTTGGTAAAATTTGTTTGATTTTTTCACACATCATTCATGTTTTGTCTTAATCGTATATCTTAAATAATGGTTGTGTTTACAATCATTTCGTAGACATTCATTATATTAAGGTTATTTTTATTATATCGAGAGATATGGTCAAGAGAAGAGTTAGGAAGAGAGTTATTCTTCAACCAAGTCGAAAACCAACCCTTTAAATACATTTTCGAGTAGTACAATTTAATTTATTAGACTATTTCAAAGGTTTGTCGTATGGTTGCTTCCAACTTCTTAAATTCGAACTATTTGTTATTTGTTAACGAAACAATTGTTGGTGAAGTGATTGTTGACAAAATGAATCAACCAACATTTATTTTACATTATCAAATTCATGATTTTGATTGGTCAATCAATAATTGCATGGGTTAAAAATTTTGTGCTGCCAGAACTGTCTCCTGTTAATATTAATAAAAATGTAATTTTTTCAAATTGAATTTATATATAATTTTTATTTTTATTAATTTTTAATATATACAATAAAATTCGATGCGAAATGTTAAAATTAAATAAAAAATTATCCACATCGCAATGTAATAATGCATTGTGCAATGTTGGGTAGGCTGCGCACCTTGAAATAAGGTTGTGCAATGGTACCTGTTTTACATCGCGATGCAATTTTATAATTTAGGATCCTGATGATTATTTAACGGCTCATTATTAATATCAATATTAATACTCTCATTGTGACTTCTAAAAGTACCACTCATTGTAAATAGCAGGTCACAAACTGTGTTTTTGTCTTCATTTTTTATGTTGAAATCTTTACAATCCTCCAAAAAATTCGTGGTAAATGGTAATAATTTTTTGGTGGACAACAATTTAAAAAAAGCTGGTTTATCATTATCCAACTTTTCAACCCAATTTTTTGATAAGGCAGACTTTTTCGCTTTCTTAATGCGATCTAATGCACATTTACCTACATTTTTTGGCAATAGAGACACAATTAGTTTTGCAAATATCTTAATACATCAAATTTAGAAAAGAAAACAAACTCACCCTCTTCAAATTCTTCAGACTTATGTTCCACAAATAAAAGAAATAAAATGTTAGTTAAAGTTGTATGCAACATATCAGATAATCACAAAATAAATAAATGAAATTGAATGGAATGGAAATTTTTTGTATATTGGTGATTCGCCTATGAACCAGTGAATGATTGACATTTTTTAGATCTTTACCTTTATCCTTTCAAGTTTTTTTCGATTTTTTCTCTAATTCTATCACCTTCAACTCCAGTTCTTCTGCCTTCCTTCTCCAACTCTAAAGAGGATGATTGTTTGTGCAGAGAATAATTGTATATAAAAATTATTTTACGTTGAATTGGTGTTTACAATATTGAATACTAAAATAATAATATATTGAAATAAATAAATACTCTTCATTTTCTTTATCATCATTTACACTAATAAAAAAAAGTTTATAATTAACTGGAGTGACAACAAGTGGCGATAACCACCACCATTTTTATGATAAACACTTATTCGCAGACGGCACCAGCACTATCTGCTTTTTTCTTTTGTTTGTTTGGGTTCTTTGCATTATTATTATTTTTTTTTCATAATGAATGTTATTTGATCGGCAAAACTAATTATTTATTATTGTATTAGTATGGGTTGTATAAGAATTCCCTATTGTTTTTTCTTTGTTGACACGATTGATTTTTTTTTTACAAGACGAGGAAATGTAAATATTGTGGTATGGTATGGTTGTTTCTAAAGAAGACAATGTGTTATTTATTTTTTATTTTTATAAATAATTTTTTATTTGTAATGTATTATTAAAAAATTTTTATTTGTAATGTATAATAATCATTATTAAAATCATGTATTTTTCCGCAAAAAACATCCGCAAATTTGATCAATTGATTTGGCGATTTGCGGATGATTTTTGCGGAAAAATACATATTACATTATAATATTAGCTGTTTGTTTTTAAATTTACTTTGAAAATAACTATCTGGGTCGGGAAAAAGACATCCTTGAGATTTGGTCTTTGTAGCGACTATTTTTTATGGACTATTTAATTGACTAGTGGTAGTATCCGTCGAATATTCGGATATTCGCCGACCATCCTTTCACAAAATTTTGGTATCCGAATACTCAATCGTCAAATAATTTTGACATCCGAATACTCAATTGTCAAATAACTTTGATATCCGAATATTTGATCTGTTTGCCAGTTTTGATATTCGGATACCCGAATATCCGTCAAATATCCGTCAAATATCCGTCGATATTAATGTCTCAATATAATAATAACGAATTTACTATATACGTTTATTTGAGTTATTTTTTTGTGGATTGATATTAATTAATTGGTTGTTATTGACATGAGAGTTCTCATATTGATTTTCCTCTAAATTCAATAATAATAATATTATTATTACTCATTTTTTATTACTAATGCCACCACTATTTATTATTATTAATGCTACTACTATTATTATTAATGCTAGTACTATTATTAATACCACCACTATTATTATTATTTATCATTAACACCATCCACTATTACTATTAATATAATATTATTTGTTATTAATACCACCACTAATACTATTGTTAAAATTTTTTTTTAAATGTAAAGGAATGAACTTTTTTTTCACCACGAATATTTTTTAAATTTTTTGTATCACGGATATTCACGGATATTACATATATTCGCGGATATTCACAAATTAAAATATTTCTTCTAGATATCCGTCGAATATCCGTCGATCAACTGTGAGATAAAATTGATATCCGGATAGTCGCGGATATCCACGGATATTCACGGATACTATCCGACGGATATAACCACTATAATTGACCAATAAATCAACCAAGGAATTTTGACTGATTCCAACCAGTCCCTACGATCTTTGTGATTCAGTTTCTATATGTTATTTATGGACTGTATTAAATGACTTACACTACAGGTTTGTTTGGAAGGAGATGTGATTTTAAAAACATCAAATTTTTCAAAAACTTTATTAATAATTAAGATTTATACACTCTTGATGACAGGAGTAGGTGTTGTTGATATGGAAAATGATAAGGTTTTATTTATGGCTTTGGAAATTTCTATTTTCCTAGTTTTCAATATATTGAACTCATGGAAAGGCCCAATAACAATCTCTTGAGCTCTCACTGCACCAGGATTAGAGGTTTCAAAAGAAAATTTTGAATTTATTATACTTCTAAACTTGATTTATTATTGTATAACAGGCTTTAACTTGAAACCATTCATCAGTAAAGGCTTATTCACCCAATTTATTTTATTTGCTACCGATTATTTTTATTATTACTAATAGTAGAATTTATTGTTATTATTATTATTATTGTTGTAAGAACAAAATTTAACATTATTACTATGTAGTTACATACTAATGATCATAAACGAGTTAATTTAATTATGAAGAAAGAATAATTCGTCTTTATGAGAGGTTTATTTCTACTTGTGATGTCAGCTGATTATAAATCTCAGCGAGAACTTGAATTTTTTATCGTTTATTATTATTCTATGTATTATATTATCATTAGAATTACTACTACTGTTGTTGTTGTTATCTAATATTTTGTCATTACCAATACTAATACTGTTATTATTATCTAACGGCTCATTATTAATGTTAATATTAATACTACTGCTTCGCGTTCGTGGTAAATACGTGACTTTAACTTCACTTTTACTTTAATCCTACGTTTCACAATCCGTTTTCCTTTCTTCCTAATATCACTATCACTTCAACCCTATATCAAATGCCTTGCTCAATTAATCTCATCGCTACCCTCGCCGTATGATCCATCGTTATCTTCGCTGATTAAGTTTAACAAAACTTTGATTTTGATTTTTCACATGAAATAAAATAAAGTTGCCCAACTATATAACAATCTAATACACCATATCAAGCGTAATGGCTCAATAAACTGATTGATAGTTAATAATGATAATAAGTCCGATAATAAGAATATAAAAATAATAATCAGCTGCTTTAAATCGATTTTTTGGTCGAGATTTTATTAAAAAAATTTAGAAAAGTAAAACTTTGCATATATGATTTTGAGAACCTAAGCTACAAAATGATATTATTTTTAAAAATGCGTGCGGCTTTTATCCATGTAGTGTATTTGGTTTGGATCAAATTAGCCAAGGACATATAAAATTTATCTTAGCAGATAATTTACCAATTACAAACATTCAAAAGAAAACCTTGTACATTGACATATTAAATGATTGTAAAAACATATCCCCAAAAAATAAATGATCCAAAAATCCCATTAAATGTGTTGTTCCCATTCGTTGCATTATTATTTTCTAAAGAATACTTGAACAGTTGAAATGTAGCAGGAACTACAGATGCTGGTCGCAATTCTTGGTGATGGTTGCAACCATATTTGCGACATATAAAAACGGTTTGCGACACCTGGTTGCAACCACCTTTGTGACCACTTTGGTTTCCTTTTTTGGATTGCGACATGGAACACTAGCAGGAACAACTTGGGAATTCTGAATATGCTGAATATCAGGGAAGTTTCGAGCTGATCGTAATGGTTTTGATTCATCTTCATCTTCATGAAATTGATTATTATTTGGTTTATTGGATGATTCTAGATAATAAATTACCATTGTTACTACTTTACATTTTTTTTTTAATGTAATGATAACCGTAGGGTAAGTAGGGGTTTGTAAAATGTTACACGGATAATCTTTAAAATATTAATATGAAAAATTTACCAAGTGAATGTTTACAAAATATTTTTTTCTATATAGACGAAGAAGATTTTGAACCATTACTTTCTGCATTGTTAGTAAATCATCAATGGTGTAATAATATAATTCCAATATTATGGAAAAGACCATTCACTTTGACAAATAATACTTTATCAGAATCGTCATTAGCAAAAATTATAAATATTTATTTAAAGCTTTTACCTGATGAATCGATTGATTTATTAAATTTAAAATCGATTATCAGTAGTCAAGAAAATAGCAAGCCAAAGTTTAATTATGCTGAACATCTTAGAGAATTTGACTTTAAAAAATTGTATGAAGGTGTTGGTGAATGGTGGGAAAATTTTTACAAAGACCGGATTGATTTGGATATTGAACTTATGAAATTATCTTTTAATGATAATAAGGTAGAAAAAAATAATGATGACGTTGAATGGAATAGGCCTGTACAAATCAAATTGTGTGATATAGGCAAATATATCAGCAAAAATAATCACAAGCTACAGCAACAAGAAGTAGCAGATGAAAGTTATGGAGATTTTGTTTATGAAGAAAATTATGATGATGATGATCACGGAGAAAATTATGATAATGACGATGATTATGATGAAAATTATGATGATGAAAATTATGATGATGAAAATTACGATGATGAAAATTATGAAGATCAAGCAGAAGAACAAGTTGAGGTTGAGGTTGAAGAAAAGAAACATATTCCATTTGAAGATACTGAAGAAGCTCACAAAATGAAAATTATTCAAGAACTCATTAAAATATTTATTGCTGAAAGTAAAAGTTTAGATAAGATCAACATTGACACACGTAATTTATCAACAACTCTATCAATTCATTTTGATAAATATATAGATCTATCATCATCTTCATCATTATCAAATAGTAATAGCAGTAGTAGTCTAAGCAAGTTATCAGAATTGGTTTGCATAGGAGATTTTTATAAAGGAAAAATACTTAATAATTTATTAAATGTTTCAAAAAACATTAATAAAATTTGTGTAGCTGATTCATATAAAACATCAATTAAACAATTGATTTTATTAATTAAATCTCAACAAAAATTAGAAACATTATATTTTATAGGAGGATTTGTTGATATTTCAAATCTTTTATGGTCATTGGAATCTCAAGCAGGAAATCTTAAAGAGATTCAGTTAATAAATTGTTTTGTTAAAGACATTAAATCAATCAAAGGTATAACTTCATGTTCAGACAGTATAGAATTGATTAAATTTTATGAATGCAGTTTGAATTCAAGACACTATAAATACTTAATAGAAGCAGATTTCCCTAAATTAAGATCAATTGATATTACTGATTTTAAAAATTTATATGATAATGACTTTGATGCTATTTATGATGATGATGATGATTACTATTATGATGATGATATTATTAATAATAGCAATGGTAATGACTATAATTATTATAATTTACCAGTGGAAGAATTAAAAAAGCTCATAATCAAATGTAGTTCACAATTGGAAGAAATTAAATTAAATTTAGATTTATATTATTATGTCAACTTGATCAATATTATCGCAGAAAATTGTCCGAATTTAAAGTTATTTTCTGCAAATATTAAAACAGATGACACAGTTAATGATCTTTTTAATATATTGATGTCTTGTAGATTTTTGGAATCTATAATAATTTTTGGAACTTATAAAACAACTTTTTTGGATGTTAGTGATATTTTACCTCAAATGGGTTTATTATTGCCACCAACAATCAAATCTTTAGATATAACTAGATGGACATTTCCTAGTGAAAGTTTGGATTTATTTTTAAGAAACTGTGATATTAATATCAAGTTTCAATATTTATCATGGCATTGTTATCTTAATGCAAATAATCATATTCTTGTTATAGAAAAATATGCTAAAGAAAGAAATCTTTCTATCAAAGAGACTAAGGTTGATTATTATGAAGCTGGATATGGGTGGAATCGAAATGTTTGTCATGTTGTTGTAGAATTAAACGAGTAATAAATAAATAAATGTACACACACATATATATATTTGATTTTTTTTAATTGATAATGATTGCTTTAATGAATAATTTGCTTAATTTATATGTAATATATAAAATAGGCATACTGGTAACAAAACCAGACAAAGTGAACATTATTTTAGGGAATAACATCAAATGTAAGTGAAGGGGTTACAATGAAAATATTTCACTTTTTTCTGCTTTTCAGCATCCTTTTATTGAATTTATTAATTATTTAGATGACTTTGAGAATAAATTGATTCAAAAAAAATTCATGGTGTTGAAATAGAAAGAAAATAAAACCTATCAAAACTTTGAACAAGAGAAGAAATTGTTAGAGGAACTTGTACAACTTACATTCACAACTGATAGTAAATCTAGACAATTATGCCTGCAAGTATTATTCAGCTTTACTTCTTCATTAAGATTAAATTTTGCTTTCAATTTAGTTTTACAAGTGAAAGTCAAAATCCATCACCAATGTGGTTGGTTCCTAAAAATTTGCTTATTATTTGGATTTCACAAATGCACCAACAAGTCAGCATGAAGTAGATTATCAATCATTTTTTGAAGAAAATATTATTCCACAACTTGAACAAAAATCACATCAAAATCCTAATCAAAAATATTTATCAGGAGATTCACCTGATATTTCTACCTGGTGTAAAGGATATGGGCTCATTGAATATACAGTTGAAACATGCGATGATATCAAACCAAGAAAAACCCAAAATTTGCATTTTCACCTTATTGCACATTATCATCATCACCATCAATAATAACAACAGATTCAAGGTTAATTTGTTAGTCCATTAATAATTTCCTAGACCAAATTTCAAAAATTGAGTAAGAGCTAGGACTAATGTTTGCAAAATCAATTTATCAATGTGGTTTACTTATTTCTTTGCCTGAATTAAAGCCAATACAAGATTTGTGGAGAAAAGCATGTCCAACTTTTAAACTGCCTGAAAGGAAAGGATTTTCAACTACATTGTTAAATAAAGTATATGAAGAAACAAGATTAGAAGTAAATAATAATATTATTTTAATATCTGATGGGTGATAAGTTTTTATTGTTTATTTATCCATCACCTGCAGAAGATGCATGGAATTGTTAGAAAAGATAATGAACAAGGTATTTTGTAAAATTACTTGAATATTTAATAATTTTTAATCCTTATATTTGTTATTTATTTGATAATGAAACAGATTTTAGAAAATAATGAAAATTTAATTTGTAACATGATTCCATCACTTATTGCAGTCAGGGACATTTCCATATTGGGATTCGATTCCAGAATAGTCTGCTGATCAATTCATTATATGTTACAAACAAATTCACAAGATACTTTTATGTTACATTTTCTAAAAATAAATTGGTTTATAATAACTGAAAGAAATACTATTAAACTTGCTTTTTCATAATCTGTTAATAATCTGTAATAATCTGTTGATTTGTTCAAAGTACATTTTTACTAAAATAGAAATTTATGACTAGAATTTAATTTTTATTGGTTTTTAAACTATTATGTTTGTATTGTTTGCATGAAGATATTGAAAACAAATATCCAGAAAGCCAGCTGATGCTATGTTGGTGCAAATCTTATTATTAAGTATATTCAGAATCACCATTACTATATTTATTCATGTAAATTAATTTGTTAATAACAATATACTTTTATTATTTATTTATTTAAAGGTAGTTTAAGGATACTGACTGCAACTTTGATGATGGTTGTAACCACCTTTACATCATATACAAATGATTGCAACACCTAGTCGTAACTGCCTTTGCAACAACTTTGTTGCATTGCAGATGGAGCACTAAAGTAGTTCGGTATGGAAATGTAAGCATAAAACTCCAAATAAATTATTTTGTATTATTTACAATGGTGGCTATTGATTTCAATATATTAATCATTATTTATTTTTGCTATATGGATTTTGTATTCCTTTATTTATTATTTTCTCCCTTTGTAATTTTTACTCTAAGTGCTTAATATGCATTTGTTTCTCTTTTCATAATTTTCTCATTAATAGAATTGGCAAGGAAATTTATATGGTATTATTTAAATTTAAAATGAAGTATTTGTTCTGATGAATGGCAGCTTAATAAATTATTTAATAATGGAATAAAAATCATTATTAATATAATAATATGCTATATATTAGTTAAATAGCATCTCTGAAATTGCTTGATCTTGGGTATACTTCTAGAAAAGCTAAAAATGCACATATTATATAATTTTGTAAATTACATGATCAATTAATAAAGCTCTCGCCATGTTTTTCTTGTTTTTCTTTTCCTTTAAAGATTATTATTTTTTATTCAATGAAAAGATCTGCACAGAATTTAGCCAATTAGAATTTCTTTTTATAACGTCGATCATTACAGGGTATTATCCCTGGTTGAATTCAGCCAATCAGAATTTCTTCTAGAATTTTTCATACCATCGATCATTACAATATTTAGTATTTCCATCTATGGAAATATCCCTGACTGTATTGATAATAGCATAGTGGACTTTCGATTTTGATCGACATTCGAAATCATCACGTTACACGATCGACATAGTCAATAAAAAAAATTCACGAAATAATTACTTATTTTATTTTTTAATTGAAAATGACTCAATCTAATAAAGGTCCTTGTTCTATTCTTAATTGTAAAAATCCAAAACCTTATAGAAAATTTACTGCAGTTTCATATACTAAATCAGTTGATGTTGGAACATTTTCATATTTCAATTATTTAAAAGTCAACGAATCTCAACTTTGCAGTTTCCATCATTTACAAATATGTGAACCAAAAAAAGGGAAAAAACTTGATTCTTTTGAAAATCAAAATATGAATGAGAACTTCCAAGAACAAATCTATAGTTATACTATTGAAGATTTATTAAATGATTCAAATGATCAAGATATGATGCAAGTTGATGTTTCATTTAATGATATTAATGTAGATATTAATAATGATTCAGTAACAATGTCCACTAATGATTTTGCTTTGTTGTTAAATAAAATTCATCAAATGCAAAAAAAACAAATTGAAATTGAA